TAAAGACAGAGGCCTTACTGCGCATCAGCCCCGCTGATAGGCCCTGGAGACACGACAGTTAGAAAACCCAACTAGGAAGCTTACAATTCAGTGTGGAGGAAGACATTAAAAAATACTCAAACTCATTCTTTCAACAAACATTTATTGAGCACCTGCTAAGTGCCAGGCACTGTGGCAGGCCTGCAGGAATACAGTGGTGAACAAAAGCAGACCATGTCCCTACCCCTCATGGAGCTTACAGTCTAACAGGGCAGAGTCATCCAATAATCCCCTAATGAAGGTCTAACTACAAACTGAGGTCAGTGCCTTTAAAGAAGAAAATAATGCCCTAGGACAAGGGGCCCTGGCTCGACTACAGTCAGGGAAGTCTTAAGGGTACTTAGAAGCAAAATGAGCAAGGAAGGAGAGAAAAGAGGGAAGGCTGCTCAGGAATGCTGTGGGGAGGTGATGAATGTAGTGCCCAACAAGATGAGTTTGAGGAATCTTTGGGATATTCATCAAGTGGAGACACCGAGTTTGGATACATGAGGCTGAGGAAACGAGCAAGGAGAAAGAGAAGGGCCAGAGAATTAAGAGCAAAAGCAGCAGAGTGTCCCAAGGCAAGGGAAGACAAAGTGTCTTGTTAAGTAGGAGTGGTGAACTACTCCAAGAAAACCAAAAAACCACCTGTGGACTTTGGCAGATTCAGGGAGCTAACACATATTCACATGGGTGAGCACATGGAGAAAGCAAGTGCAGGCAACTCTTAAGAGAGGCATCAGCAGTGAAGGGGAGGAAAAGTGATTAGGTGCTGGCAGGAGCAGCAGGGAGAAAATTGAAGTGAGTAGAGATGGCAGGGACGCTGGTGTGGGTAAACGTCAACAGAAAAGACTGGGTGAGGAGGATGGCAGAAAACCCACCAGGAGAGGAAGGATGATCAGTGGTGTTAGGTTCTGGAGCAAGTGGCAGAAAACAGGACCCAGAGCTCAGGGGTAAAACTGCCCTAAGGGAGACGGAACACCTCTTTGCCTGTACCATGAGGGAGGGAAATCAATCCATAGGCTTAGGGGCTGCTAGCTGTGGGGAGTTCCATTCTCATAGCTTTTATTTTGGTTTTTTGAAGCAGAAGGTAAAGTCTGAAGATAAGTAACAACTGAAAGAATTGCACCAGAGAGGAGATTAAGAATGCATCAGAAAACTATAGCAGAACTGGTAGGCAGGACAGATAATCCTGAACTTCCTTTGTTATGTGACAGAGCTGATTGCTAGGCTGATCAGTGCTATGAGAAAGCTGGGGGCCTGAGATGGTGGTGCACAGGCTTCCCTGGGGAAGTCCTCTTAGAACTGAAGGATCAACATGAGGAGACTGCAAAAGGCACAGGGAAAAACATTCCTGGTGAAGGACAGCATAGGCAAAGGCTCTGAGACAGGAAGGAGCAAGGCCCTTTGGAGTAACAGAAAGACCATGGTGATAGGAGCTCAGAAAGAGATGCTGGCGTGAAGTAAGATCAGAAGCTGGTGGGAACAAGATTAGGGGACAGGCTAGGGATGTCTGAAGGCCAGGGTGAGGCTTTCTCAGTCTTTATTTTTAAGAGGAACAGGACACTTCCTAGGGCTGTTAAGCCAAGGTAGAGCAGGAGGGCTCCTCCGCACACCAGCCCTGGGATTTTGGACTCTGGGAGCCTCAGTTTGCTCATCCAGGAAAGAGAGATTTAAAATATCCAAGAAGGTCACGAGGCTGCCAAATAAAAAAATAATAAAATGGTCACAGGGAAAGTTATCAGGATTAAGTGAAACTTTGCATGGAAATACAGTACTCAGCAAAGTGCCTAGCAATGAGCAGAGGCTCAGCCAGGTCTCACACAAGCCTTCCATACGTGCCTTTCCCATGACAGTCCACCACAAGCCCTGTGACATCTTTGGACCAGTCTGCATCTTTTTCTCTGCGTGAACCTAACACTGTGCCCAGCACATATTGGGCCCCCTCAATGTGTGTTGATGGATTATATCTATGCCTGAGTTATCAAAAGCCAAGTCCAACAACCTAGGCAATGCAGACATTTGGGTTTCTGAGCTATATCCTGATGGCTATCAGACTTCTCCCATGCTCTCACCTGACGTGGCTGTGCCCAGTGCACAATGGGCCTGCAGCCAACATTTCCTACAGAGGAAATCCTCTACGATGAAGCTCCCACAGGTAAAGGATATCCCCTGAGATCCTCTCCTGTTTCCCAGGAAGGCTGGGTCACAGAAGGGTGGCTGTTCTTCAACAGCGCTCCAAGTCACTGGCAGCACACAGGTTTTAAAACAATAAGTTGAAATGTACTCGCTAAGAAAGCCACCGACCTACAAAGAAAACCTTATCACTGATCTTGCAACGAGCACCAACCTCTCCTTTGCAAGAGCTGAGATCAAAAGATAAAGAAGCTATCAAAAAGCCATCTGCCCACTTAAAATAATATCACAAGTCATGTTAGGAACCACAGACCTGGGGCCAAATACCAAAACAATTGTCTGAACGGGCTGCTTCAATTTCTCTTTAAAACCACTCATGTATTTTAAAAGAAAAACACCCTCTCCACCCACCTTGCCCTGCAAGGTTTTGATTTCTCTATTCCCTTCCTTTCACATTCTTTAAATGACCAAACTCTGTTACCCAAACTGTCTCATCTTATAGACAAGGCTTCCACAACAGCCAGTGAGGATAACAACTTGGGAAAAGTGATAGAAATGATGGAGGTTCTGGGGTACAGGAACTGCTCAATCTCTTGATCAGGGTGGTGATTATACAAGTGCATACATATGTACAAATCTATTGGGCCATACTGTTAATATCAGTACAACTTTATGCAGGTATGCCTCAATAAAGAAAAAAAAAAAAAGGTAAAAGGAAAGCATAACATGCTGGGAATACCAAGAATGAAACCCAGAATTTGTTCTGAATCCTGTCAGAACTTCAAGAGGATCAGCAGTAAGAAAAAAAAATGTCCCTAGTATTTCCTCCCTGGTCCTGCCACTCACTAGCTGAGACTTGAGCAAACTGGCTTACCTTTCTGAGCTACCCATTTCCCCCCGTATTATATGGAGATAAATTTAGAGCCTACACCACACACAACACACCACAGGCCTCTAGGAAAGAATGGACCAGACATTTATAGCACAGAGATCAGTAATGCTGGTCACTGTTATCTTTTGCAGCTACCACCATGCTTCAGTTACCTTGCCCGTTTGCTGCATCTAATCCAACCACGCAGAGTGACTGTCATTCTCCTTTAGCAGATGGGGAAACTGAGGCAAGGACACAGCCAGTGATGGGAAGAGCTGAATTTAGGAGGGGAATCCAGGAAACTGTACATGTAACTACCTAAATACTTATACTAGTTAATACCTATAAGGCACTACTTGGCGCCAGGCTCGGTTTAGAGTACTTTTACTAGTATCCTGTGAAGTAGGTGCAACAATTCTGTTTTACAGATGAGGGTCCTGAGGCACAGTGTGATTAAATGAGCTGGCCAAAGTCACAAGGCCCATAAGTGGCAGGTCTGGGATTTGAACCCAGGCAATCTGATGCCAGAATCCATGCTCTTAATGCTGTAAGGAAAACCATGCTGCCTGACCCCTTTAAGTCTCAGGTTATGGTAGGGTTCACAAGTTGGTGAGTGGGTATTTGCCTGCTTGCTCAATTGTCCAGACACATCTTCCCACCAGCCCAGAGCTAGACCACTGTGAATTACTCACAGCCCAAGGCCTTACCAGGACCAGCAGATCTCACAAACATCTTGCTGCAGCCAGTAGCTTCTGACCAAACATATATAAGTCCTAAACAACATTTTTCCATTCCTATTTCCAGTCCTTCCAGGAGCAGGGAAGTGTTTGCATTTTAGGGACAATCTACTGATCCCAAGCTAGACTTAGGTGACTGCAAAAAAACTCAGGCTGAGCTGCTGCCCTTGAAGAACTTATAGCTTGGTAAAGGAAACCTAGGAAAATCATCTATCAGAGCCTTCAGGGAACCCAATAAATGGTTCTTTCTCCTAGCCTCTGAATAGTCACAGGTGGTGTGTCAAAAAAAACAAGGGCATGAGCTTTAAGTCTAGTCTCCATCTGGTTCTGTCTCTGCCAGAGCTACTTCTTCCCTAGGAGAGCCTGGGCTCAGCCCCTTGCCTATGCAGGCTTCAGACTAGATCAGAGCATAACAGCAAAGAAAGTGCACAGGCTTCAAAGGCATGGTTAAACTGGAAAAGCCAGGCACCATCACTTCCTCAATCCATTTTTCCACCCCTGGAATCCTGGTTTTCTGCTTTGTCGGACAGGGATTATATTCCCTACTGCCCCCTAGCAAGGCTCTTGGTCCACACTACCATGTCACTGCAGTTGTCTCCACTCCAGCACACTCCCCATTATTCACACCAAGCTCATTCCCACCCCAGGACTTTTGCACTTACTGGTCCCTCTACCTAAAACATCCCTGTTTCATATATGCACGTAACAGTCCTTTAGCAGTCAGGACTCAGTTTAAATGACATATCTTCATCAAAGTCCTCCCTGTTCCTTTTGCTACAAACTGGCCCCTCCCTAAATCTGTGTATAACTTTTCCCCATCATCATCCAGGCCTCACCTCCACCTCCTCAAAGGCCCTTTCTGCACATGTCTAAAGCATCCATTCCCTCCCAATATATCTATTCCCTTACTCTACTCAGCAGCTAACTTTATCTCTATTTATATTAACTGCTTCCTTGATCATTTTTTTAAACTGTCTTCCACAAGAGCCTGTATGATCCTTGAGGGCAGGGAAGATGTCTTGTTCAGGGCTTTACAATGGAACTCAACAAATGAATGAATGAAACCCCAGTTAAACACAGTGGCTAGCACATGTTTGGCCTCCATTACTCTTTGACTAACTGAATGCACCCTCCTCCCGGTCCTGGAGAGCAGGCCTGAGGTGTTCCTGGGCTGGAATGCTTGTCCTCCATCCTAGACACAGCCTTGGGTTGGTGGAGGTGGCGCTGGCAGACATTACCTGCGCCTCACCGGCTTCATGCAGCTCTTCAGCTGCCTGGCCTCAGCCTCCACTGGACCCTGGCACTCGGGCTGTGGCTCCAGCTGCTGCTGCTGGGGCAGCCCTTCAGCATCAGTGGGTGTGGGAGCGGGTGCGATCCGGAGCAGGACTGTGTAGTTGCGGCCGTGGTTGTTGGCCCAGAAAGTGCCCTCGGGGGTCTCATAGCGCACCACGAAGTCGAGGCGCGCCCCATCGCCCGCGCCCTCAGCAAAGGGCAGCTGGAAGGCAAAGCGGTCGGTGCGGCCGCCGTCGTCGGGCGAGGAGGCGGCCGCCTGGCCAGGGCCCAGGCCAAGACCCGTATCGAAGATGGGATCTCCTGCTCCTGTTCCTCCCGCTCCTGCCCCCGGTGGGCTACGCGGGACGTAGCGCGCTGGGTGGTCGCAGAAGGAAGCCCAGCCGTCGTGTGAGGCCCGCACGTGCACCGCCTTCTCAAAGGAGCGGTTCAGCACGCGTACCAACCCGCGCAGCACCGGCGGGCGCCCCCCAGGCACCCACACCCCGGTACCCCCGGGGACCGCTCCGGGAGGCGGCAGCAGCGCCTCCAGCTCCACCATGACGCGCCCCAAGCGCTCCAGACGGCCCGGCGCGGGCGGCAGCGAAAATGTGGGCACCAGGTAAAAACCCCCGCCAGCGGGGACGGGGTACAGCAGCGAGGGCTCGGGGCAGGCCTCCTCTTCCTCCTCCCCTTCATCCCCATCCTCGCCATCGTCGTCCTCGTCAGCCCCGCCGCCGCCGCCATCTTGCCCGGCCGCCGCCGCCATCTTGCCCGCCCCGGGACCGCCCCACGGCCGGTAGCGGCGCAGCTGCGCCAGCGGCAGCCCTAAGGCCTCATCAGCGAACAGCACCCTCCGAGGGGCCACCGCAGCCTCAACCGAGGTGCGGGGCTCACCCGCGGCTGGCGAGGGGGGCGCGGGATGTCGCAGCGGGGGCTCCACAGGGGCCGTGCGCGCCATATCGGCGGCGGCGGCGGCACCGGCGGCACCGGCGGCGGGACCGGCGGGGGCAGGGCCTGAAGGGGTGGGCAGCCAATGAGAAGGCCAGCGCGGGAGGGGTAAGGCTCACGGGGGCGTAGGCGGTAATATGAAGACAGGTATAGCAGACAGCCAATGGGCAGCCTAGTGTGGGTGACGTAGCAGCGAATTAAGAGCAGGAGAAACACGCAGCCAATGGGGATGCCTGAGAGTGGGTGGTGTAGGAGGCGGAATGATCAGGGAATCAATGGAGAGGCTGGAATGGGGGTGGTGCGGGATCCAGGATGAAGATAGCAGAAGTAGGAAAGCTAATGGGGAAGTCTTAGCGGGAGCGGCGTGGAAGGTGGAATGGCTACAGGCGTTGGGGGCAGCAGGGAACAAACCGAGAGGCCCGAAAAGTGGGAGATCCCGCGAGTTGCGTAGGCGGTGAAATGGAAGCTAGAGACAGAACAGCCAATGGGGAACCGCTCGTGGGATGACGATAATGACTGCATGTAACCAATGGAGAGTCTTGTGAGTGTGCACTACGGTTCTAAGGGGCGATGCCAGGGCGGAACTAGCCAATAGGAAGGCTACAAAGAGACCAAGCAGTGGTATGTGAGTGGCCACGGAGGTAGGACCGCAGGGAGCAGAGCCAATGGGGATTTGGAATGAAGGCGGGAGCGAGGAAGACAGACGATGGCTAGCCAATGGGGGAGCTAGGGTGAGGGCTCTGAGGCCTTAATGGGCAGTGCAAGTGTAGAATGAACCAATACTGAGACTAGAAAGTGTAGCGGGATGGAGAGAGGACTCGCAGGCACGACGTGAAAGAGCAGAGCCAACGGGGGCAGTGTAAGTGTTATGAAGGAAGGCATTAGCCAATAAGGAGGCCAGAGAGGAAGGCTGTGCGTAGGCAGAGTCTGAGCTATTGAATGGTCAAGCAGCTGAACTGTGGAATCCCCACAGCCAGTAGGAAGAGTATGCCTCTCAGCAATGGACTCTCCGTGACTCCCCCATTGCTCCAGGAAAGCCCAAAGTCCCTGAAGGGGGCTAGACTGCACCCTCGTATGTGATCTGAGAAAGCAAAAGGACTCTAATGTAGTTACTGTGTCCCTTTGCCCACTTCCCAGCCTTGTCTTGAGCAGTGCCACTAGCCAAGAATGCCCCTGATTGTCAGCCCCAACATTGTTGAATGCATGGCCACATGGGAAATTAAAGTTTTTGAAGGATTAGCTTTTTTATTCTATTTTTGTCATGCAAGTCCTGGTTGAGGAAGGATTAGATTTTTTTGACTTTAGCTCAGCAAACACTGAAGCCTGACTATGTGCCGCCAGTTGTCTGAGCACGTTGGTGGACGCTGACTAACGGAATCACAAATCAAAGCCCTGCCCTTGCCCAACCTGACACTCCACACCTCACCTGCCATTCACTCCATACCCTACCCCACCGCGGCCTCACTTTTTTATCCCCATCTTTTCTCCTCCTGTATTCTCTCCCATGAGTGCTGTTCCTTCTGCTTCCTCCATTTGGTACACTCCTTTCACTCTCCCTTTGAAGTCTGACATGTGAGAAGTGAACTGTAGATTTTGTCCACAGAACATGTCCATTTCAACATTCCCTCTCCATCCTGGGAGGATTTACTAAACACCTACAGTATGTTAGGTTCTAAGGATGCTGTTATCTCATCTAAACCTCACAGCATCCCTAAGAGGTAGGCCATCCCTTCAGCAGCATCTAGGAAGGAGTCACAGGTCAGGAAGGAATTGTTCAGCTTCAAGTGACAGAATCAGAAATAATGGGGGCTTAAAGGAGATACAACTTTTTTCATGTAAAAGTTCAAGCTACCAAATTGCCCAGTGGCTCCTTTCTGCCCACCTGGTTTGGGCATTGTTTGTGTCCTTCTCTGGCCCCAACTTTCAGTCTTTAACAAATTCTGTCAGTTCTCTATTCAAAATATTTTTCAAATTCACCCTCTCCTTACCACCTCCACTGCCAGTACTATCACTAGTCACCTGGACTACTGCTAGTTCCCTGCTTCTGCCCTCATCCCCTAGACTCCATTTTACACTCAGCAGTCAGGGGGATCCTGTTTAAATCCTGTTAAAGACAGTTTATATCTCTCGTCTGCTCACAACCCTCCTATGCCTTCTACCTCACTCAGAGTAAAGGCCAAAGTCCTTTCCATGGCCTACAATGTCCTACATGGTGTAATACTGCCTGGTTTCCTCTAACCTCACTTCTGACCTGTCTTCTTCCTGCTCTCTCTACACTAACCATACCAGCCTCCTTGTAGACCTTGCACAAATCAGGTACACTTCCACCTCAGGGCTTTTGCAATGGCTGTTTCCTCTGGAGTTCCTTAGATTTCTAGGTGGCTCATTTCCTTCAAACCTTTATCAAAGGTCCCCTTCTTTGGGGACTTTCCCCAACCTGTTTAATCTTGCTCACTGTCCCCCAACTCCCAGGTCTTCCCGTCTCCTTCCCCATAAGGCTTCCATGCTAAAGGATATAGTCCAGTATAGAGAGGAGGTAATGACCATTACCCATCTGACTGCCAGATCTCATTCTACATAGTACAAGGATCCTGGCTTTCAGCAGTAGTAGCACCACCCATCCCACACTCTGGGTTCTGCCCAAGGGGACTCCAAGGATTCTTTGGGCCACTACTCTCACTCATTTTTCCTCCTATCTCTCTTTTCTACTTTGAAAAGCCCCAGTTTCCAAGGATTTAGGATTCCAAATATCTGCCATCACTCCAGTAGGTGACATTTATCTTGAATTTCCCATGTGTCAGACACAGTGCTGAATGGTTCTCATAAATGATCATGTCCTAACATCACCACAGCTCTTTGAGTTCCATCTCATCATTACTCTCCTGCCATTATACAAAGGGGGAAACAGATGCACAAAGTGGTCTAGCAACTTGCTGTAGATCACAGAGCTGGTGAGTGGGGGGGTCCAGCCACTCTCTCTCATAGAGTGAATGACAGTAAAGGAGAGATGGTCTGGGGAAAGCATGAGGAAGATACAGCCCATACCTCTGACCCTGAGAGAGAAAGCCAACTCCCTTTTCCAGGAGGGATAAGTGCTGGGGCAGAGAACAAAATCTCTATTTGTAGAAGTTGCCTGGTTTATAATTACACAGGAGGGTAGGAAATGTTAGGACCCAAGTCAGCAGGGAGCAAAGGGTCATTAACCTTGGGAACATCCCTACAAGCAGCTCCCTAAGACGCTTTCCTGACAAGCATGCTCCTCAACCCCTCCCTCACTCTCTCCCACATGCAACATCTGCTAAGTACCTGCTATACACAAGATCCATGCAGGCCTCCAAGTTGAACACCTCATCCCACCTTGGTACCTCCTCTGGCTGCCTGGCACACAAAAGTCATTTTTGGATCTCAGATGTGTCCCACCAACTCAGAAGCCTCAACCAGTGAAAATTTTGTTTTGAACTAATAGTAGGGAGGGTTGGGCTTTTTTTTTTTTTTTTAATTGTTGTTGGCTGATTTTTTTAGATCTTTTTTTTTTTTCTTATTCACTTTTTTTTTTTTTCTCATCTTCACAAAGCCAGGCTATCAGGCCCACTCTGGGCGTTTCCAGAAAGGTGAGTCTGAGTTGAGCAGAGGTT